TCTCAAACAATCGTATGCTCAACATATTATTGATGAAAAACTAAAATTGCAAGTAAAAATCAAACACGATTTGATTCGATAAAGTAAAGTTATGTGTTTCTACTTTGTTATTGTGACTGAATACAATATTTTTTTGTAAATATATTTTGATAATGTCTTTTCTAAACCTTATGAAATGATTCATTTTCCTTCATCTCATTTGCTCTTTTTGCTTAATGATCTTGATGAAACTATGTAGTTTCGTACGTATGCCTGGCGAATTAAATAATTATCTCTGCCTTTAAACTAATTCTTTGTTTTTCTTTCTCAATAATAATTATGTGTCTACGTTCAATATGAATACAAGCACTCTGGAAGTTTTGTATCAAACACTTATATATTAGGCAAAGCGGAAATTTAAACAAAATTAAACAGCTTTGAAAAGATTAAAAAATCAAAATTAAATAGAAAAAGATGAAAATAAAGAACTGATCTTATATATTTATATTAAGTTATGTCTTTCTTTAGATGAACTTTGCTTGAATCTAAGAAGTTGCAGACTTCATTAGTAAATTCAATTGAAATATAATTCCTTTTAGCAAGCTTTGACCAAAAACTAGAGAGGATCTTTAAGTATATGTTGATTCGGATAGTATTTTTTTTCATTGATATTTATGTGTCTTTAAAAACTGATCTGGTTCACACATAATATTTAAAGTATGAATATATTGTATTGTTAAGTTTTATTGAGTTATATTCTAACTAAAAACAATGAAGAACGCTTTTGCTTATGTATTTTCTGTGGTAGAATAAAAAAAATGGCTTCTCTCAGAATTAGGTACTCAAAAAAATTATTATGTTAATTTGATTGCTCAGAAGAACACTTTAGAAAATTGTTTTCTGATGACAACACAGAAGTCATTCATGTGCATATTAGAATATGAATGATTAAAAATGAATACTCTGTTGACTTAGAAATACTATGTAAGTGCAATGTTGTGACAAATATGTATATATTGAAATATATAAATTAAGATGAATCGAACAACAATCACAAATTGTTTAGTTTTGGGATCTATTACTTATTTGAATCCAATTTGATTTAATTCTTGTAATTACCGTCTTTAATCAATATTGTGTCGAACAGACGATTTTTCGAGACATTTTATGTTAGAGTATTTATCGATATAAAGCTAAAATTGAGTGTATCATAGTTCATCATATATCAATAATGGCATAATTTTGAATTAATGCTACTGATAAAAAAGAAAAACTCCGTTGGTATTTAACCATTGTAAGTTGATGGACAATTCATTAAAGAACCTTTTTCGATGAGGGAAATACGAATAAACTTTCAAGTTCTGAAAAGAAAAATGCTTCATTTACTAAAACATTTTAATATTCTAGGTATTATTTTACATAGTACGCGAATCATCACAAAGTGCTGAGTGAATTTTCAAGATAATTGAATGATTGTTGAATTGTTCCATTTAGCAGACATTTTTGTACTCAATAATATAAAAATTTTTTTTTGTTTCTTTAAAAATAACTCGACAAGAAAGGGAAATTTTCGCATTGCTGCACACGCTTTTCCAATTAGAAGCAATGCTCATAATGGTAATATTCCCACACGCACAAGTGAGCATTTGAGGATAGCGGCGAATAAGCGCCCGAAAATGATCGAAAGAGGTGAATAACAAATACGCGTATTTAGATCACTTTATTTCGAATATCGTACTCGTTTAGTATCTGACCAACTAGTGCTCTCTATATTTTTTTATGAACATTTTACTACAAATTCTATGTGAGACATCTAAAACTGTGAATGGCAGTCAACAAAAGGCGTTGCCATCATTTAAAAAATTCTTTTCTTGAAGTCTAAGAAAAGAACTTACAGTTAATTATTCAAGTATTTTTCTTCAAACTGAGTATAATAACGTATTCTACTTTCTAATTACAATTTTTGATTACATTGAAAGCACTAAAGTTGGTATTTTTCTCTCGGCATTTATAAAACACACTCTAGATTGTAGACGATGATAGCATTGTTAAAATCAGATTAAGAAAATTAGTATTTGTAGATTCTAAATGAAAATTATGAACACAAAACAATAGAAAAACAGCAACAGTTGAGATAGATTTTTGTTTATCTGCATTCACTCAATATTCTCACTTGCTATCAACCTACTCTGATAAGAATCAAAAGCATAAATCAACTATAGTAGTTACTGAGTTTTTCTCACGATTGTTGTTAGAGTGATAGTATGAACAGTAAGCTCATTTACGGAATATTAAAATAAGAGACAGATCAAGATAATTTATTCATTGTTAACCTATTTATTAATATTAGTTTTTTCTTTTTTTTCTCTGTTCAAATTCTATTCTCATATTATTACTCTTACCATTCTTGTAAACTTCTGCTCTACAAAATAGGTAACTTTTATTCAAAAAGGAAGATAGAGATAAATACATGGGAAGATTGCTCGGAGTCTGATCCTTCATAAACAGCATGACTTTTTTTTTATTTGAAACATATCCTTTTTGTTTTTTTTCTGTTTATGCTTTCTTTTCACCGAGAAACTCAAAACTCTGTGTGTTTTACCATTCTATACATTTAATTTTGTGTGAAAGAGCATAGTCAAGATGTTGTACATGACCAAGTTCTTTTTTTTTTTGAAGAAAGTATTGCTCGTATTATATAAAACAGCACATGTATAATTAGAGAGAATTTTTGTGAGTTACTTCAGACATTGAACGTTTATACCGGCTTTTTACCTAAAAATTTAGATAAATGGAACACTGCCATGTTGTACATCCCATAATATTTTCTTTCAAACAAAAGAATTTAAGTTGATACAATGAAGACTGCTCGAACATTTAGGATTGTCCAATGAGCTATTTCCGACTCTTAATTGTTGAATATCTCTCGAAAACGTCATGGTAAAAGGGTGAAAGTTACAGCAGCAACGTAGCCTGAGAATTTCATGCAACTTGAATCTATGCGACCTAAGATCATTTTTTAACAGAGAAAGGGACTCAATATTAGAAAGAGGACTCTACCCTTACAAGTATTGCTAATTTTAGACATTGCTGAGAAATTTCGGAAGTTTCCAACATTTAAAAAGGTAACGTCTTTCTCTTAATAGTACAATAGGTGAATATTTTCATGGAATAAATAATAAGTTATTTTCAAAATTTCTAGTTAACTTCTTAAATTACCAATATTTTAAAGGAAGGTTCTTATTCTTCGCATGAGAAGACATTGATATTCACGTAGAATTAACATATATTAATTTATATATTTAATGAAGCTTGATAGTACTCTGGCAGATAGATGCTGGAATTAGGTGAACGATTGGCATGAATTTTTTTTGTAACACATTTTTTGCAGACATTTCTAAATAGTGTTTCTTCTTCGATATTTAGATTTTGAAAATAGTTAGAAATTTTCGCTTTTCGAAGTACTTATTATCGAAAGTATCTGAGAGTTGCTCAGTTATATCGTAGAAATCTTCTTTTGCTATAGGATTAATCATTGAGATTTCTCAGAAATTCACTCCTCTTGTCTTAATAGCTTTATTAGATTTTCGGAAAACTGGCGTATTTTGGAATAGATAGCATCTACTTCTTCGATGAAAAGTATAGTGATTTTGGGAACTTTCTTGCTAATATGGTTTTTCTGTAGGAGCAGTTTTTGAAATTTGATTATTTATGAGGGAAACATCCTTTTTTGGAGAATCCAAAAATTGCTGCAAAAACTTCTTCTCAGACTATATACTTAGTATCAAATCATCTGCATTAGGTAAAAAAGGAATAAAATATTTCATTTCCTTGTTTTGTAGGAATGAATTAATTTTTGTACTACTAGTGGAGACAATGTTCATAGCTCATATTCATGACGAAAGTCTTTATCGAACTAGTTTCAAAATGTCACCATTGAGCTCAATATGAAGAAGAAACTTTTTGAATCACTTCTACATTTAATCGAAGTTGTCTTCATGAACAAGAGCTGTGGACATTATTATTATATAATAGTGCAAAACTCAGCTCATTCGCACAAAAGAACGCCGCGAGACATTCATTTCATTTTCCGAACGATGACTTTGGTACACATATTTTTTTAGAAAATTCTTTCGTGAGAAAACGCTCCTTGCCAAGAACTAAAGTATTAGCTAATCGACATTTTTCATGGTTAATCAGATTTAAACATAAAATGCTCATGTTCACCGCGTCGACGACAACTATTGGCTTTTGGGTGTTTACAATGATATTCATGCAGTGCACTGGCGGTAAGAAATATATTTTCTTTCTCACTCAGTGGTCATTTAACTGAAAAAGATCCTGAAAAGCACTAAAGAATACAAACACAGAGAGTTCCATTCGAAAGAACGTATTGGAATGTTTTCCTGTTGTTTATTCACACGTCACTATTCATAAGCGTTGAATAGTATAATAGAAAATGTTGATGTACTTTGAAAGAAAAAAAACTAGTTAATGTCAACACTTGTATGTTGTGTTTAGTACCACAAAATCTATCACCTTCTACACGTTGGGCTCAGAATGCGACCACAGTCGCAGGATTGACAAATGGCACAGCTGGATCATCTCTATTTACTCTCTATATGAACCAAGGAATATACATTGCAAATGACAATACTCTTTACATTGCCGATACGCTCAATTCTCGAATTGTTGTGATTAGACCCAACTCGACTACGGCTATAGCTATTATGCAAAATGCATCTGACTCAACCTCTCTATTTACTTATCCTAGTGATGTTTTTGTTACTCAAAAATATATTTACATCTTAGAATTTTTCGATTCTTTCGTGGTAAGATTATTCAAAAATGGAACACATCCAGTCATCGTCGCCGGAATCCAAGGCGTACACGGAAGCAGTCTAAATACATCAACAATCGGCAACTGCTACAGTTTATTTGTCGACAGTAATGAGAATTTGTATGTGGCTGATTTTAACAATAATAGAGTGATTCGTTATTCATCGAACTCATCGAGTGGTATGCCTGGTGTGGTGGTAGCAGGAAATGGTACCGATGGAATCAGCGCTTCACAGTTAAGTGGACCATTTGGATTATTTGTCAATGAGGCGGGAACATTGTATGTTTCGGATTGTCAAAATAATCGAATTCAACGATGGGATAATGGAGCTTCCTCCGGTGTGACAGTCGCAGGTACTGGAGTTAGTGGTAACAGTTTATCTCAACTGTACTATCCACTGGGAATTGTTGTTGACTCGAATGAATACATGTATATAGTGGATGGCGGAAACAGTCGAATTCTTCGATGGCCGCCAAATTCACATTCTGGTGAATGTATTGCAGCTTGTACTGGTACTAGCGGAAATGAAATTGATAGGCTGCTCGAACCGATTGCATTGGCATTTGATAGCTATGGATCTCTCTTTATTAGCGATAGAAGCAACAATCGAGTGCAGAAATTTCAGATCCTTGGCAGTTTTGGTGAGTAGCAAATATTTTAATTGCACTTCATTTATTTTCTGTTGAAACTACTTCAGGTGAAACTTCATCAACAACTTCGACAACAACAGATTACACAACATCATTGCAAGCTTCGTCGAAATCAAGTACGATACATTCATCAGCAGTTGCAATATCCATTGTTATATTGGTAATGTTTTTTTGTCACAAATATTTCATATCAGTTTCAATATTTTATCGTATAATTTTCTAGCTTTCGTTCCTTAACAAGTGAGATTTGAGCGACTTTGTCCTTCGCCTCAACACTACACAATACATTCCAAAGTGCGCAAATGGCTCATTTCATTGAAGTTGACAATCGTTCTTTCTCTCTATTGCTTTCATACTAAACTTGCTTGCCGCTTTTGTATCATTGTGTCAATGTTCAAACATATTTTCTATATTACTTTATTATTGAAACAAGATTTTGTAAATCATATACTTGTTTTATTATTATGCTTTACGTAAAATTCACTGTTTTTAATGAAGCTTCAAGTATGGAGTCGATACAAGTGAACTCCTATACATTTTCGAAAATAAAGTTCGACTACATATATTTATCTATACAAGGTTCAATCAATTCAATTTTTTTCAGGTTTTATTTACCTTTCACAGGTTTACACGTTTTCGAGCATAAATGTGCCTGTCATATCCTTTCTCAAACGTGATCTATCTTTTTGTAGTTTTCTCCAACCTGCTTATGTTTTTCTTGTCCATATCAAGAATAAAATAAAATCGAATTGATTATTAATCTTTAGAGAAAGTCAAACAAGTGGGTGGGATCAATTTCGATTTGTATGGTAAAAACTTCCTAATGTAAACGTCCAAAGCAATTTCCAAAAATGTTCATCATTCTAAGGTTCTTTTCTGTTATGTATGCATGAAAACATGGAAGAATTAGAGTTGATCAAAAATCACTCTCCGCAAGAAGAGTTTTCCAGTTGGTAGAGATTCTAAAAAGAATTCATAGTTCACTATTAAAGTGTATTCATGAAGAAGCAGTTGGTTTCAAACAAAACAATGCTTGACAGGAACTCAGAGCTTACATTATAGACGTGTTTATAATAGAAGATTTTACTGTAGACTGGACATTTATGAACTGAACAATTGTGCTACATAGAAACCTAAAAAAAATAAAAAGCTAATGATTTCGAGAAAAAAAATCTGTCTTTTGTCTAGGAACATTATAAATGAATCTAACAGAGAAACATATTCACAGTATTACAATTAAGAGAGGAATCGAATTCAGTCAATGCTCAACCTTTACCAAAAAACATGTTCAAGGTCAGCTGACCTAAAAGAAGTTATAAAAAAAACTCACGAGGGAGGTACCCGAAGTGATTCAGAGGTTTTGAGCTGATATTTTGCCCATAAGCCGAATCTGATAAGAATAGAAAAAGCCTAAAAGGATATGGGCCCATAGGCCTTTCTTCCCGAGTTACGAGTATTTTACTGGATTTTCTATTTATGACAAGGGATTGATCGAAAAATCAAATTACATAGTTTCGATCTGAAATTTTGCCCATATGTAGCCCTTATAATTCTTATCGTAGCCTAAAAGTTTCAGCCCAAACAAATGTTTCTTTCACGAAATAATAAATACTCAAGAAAAGCCTTTTATGCTACAGACAAGTCAGGAAATCGACTTTTCTTGATTATTTATTATTTCGTGAAAGAAACGTTCGTTTGTCCTGAGACTTTTAGCCTGCGACAAGGATCATAAGAGCTACATATGGGCAAAATTTCAGATCGAAACTATGTAATTTGATTTTTCGATGAATCCCTTGTCATAGGTAGGAAATCCAGTAAAATGCTCGCAACTCGGGAAGAAAGGCCTATGGGTCCATATCCTTTTAGGCTTTTTCTATTCTTATCAGGTCCTGCTTATGGGCAAAATATCAGCTCAAAAGCTCTGAATCACTTCGGATACCTCCCTCGTCAGTGGCATCTGTGTGCTACCAATATATATTTAATTTATTCCCTTTTATGAAATAAAGAGTCTTACGAAGAAAATTATATGTTGTTGAAATATTTGAAATTAAATTTATGTATATATCTGCCAGGTGAGAAAATGAGAATAATAAAAAATAGTGAAATGTAAAAATATTGATATTAATTTATTGCTCTTGAATATTGTGACAACTCTATGATGAATAGTGAAGAGAAGCTTGATGTCTCAAATATTCAGATTAAATAGCAAAGAGCTTCTAGACGAATGGGACGAAATGAAACAATCGAATAAAACCACAAATGATTACGTCTTGATCGAGAAAGAAAAATACAGAAGAAAATATGAAACTATTGAGCGAAGAGAATCTCGTTGCATAACTAATCGTCGATGCATCACTAAGAGAGTCGCTAAAAAAACTGACGATGAATATCGCATTTGACTTTGGCGAAATTGTAAATGCATTGCCGATAGTCGTTCGAAAACAAGTTATAACAATTGATGTACAATAAACAGTCAAGCAGAAGAGAATCAAAGAGATCGAGAGTCACTTCTTTGAAAGGTTGATTTTAGATTTTAAAAAGTTTGAAATTAAAGATATACTTCAGAGGAATTCTTGAAAAAAGAAAAAGAATTCTGACGCTATTATTGTTTATCTAACAATTACTGAAGCGAAACCAACGATTCGGTTCTCAGCAAAGCTTATGAAATTAAGATCAGTCTAAAGACACATTGAGAGTAAGAGCATTTAAGAGATGTCACAAGTAGCAATAAAAGTATTTATACGATTCTCTTTCTGCGTCCTTTCCGGTTCTAAGAAAAAATATCAAAAATAGACTGGTTATATTTTTATATCAGCAAAAATATTAACATATTTAAATAATAGTACAGCATACCGAATGGTAGATCTGAGATTTTTTACACGAGGCGATTCAACGGAGATTGACACCAAGAGCTCATTTTCAAGCTTTTTCTTCTAGAAAACAGCGATTTTTTATTGCTATTGGAACTACCGCAAGCGCCCTCCTAAATCTGTCATTGCATATCTCAATTTCATGAGTTGTCTAATTCTAGTTTGCATCTAAATGAACTTCTGGTTGCAACAGTCATTTCGAAAACAAATAGAAATACAACTCAAGCCAGCAGCGAACTGTATTCAAAGTGGCAGCTAAAGATAATACTAATCTGAATTTTATATTTTATGATTTAGACACGGATGTCTTGTTAAAATAGCCAAGAAGCCAAAGATTAATTTTATCACAATTATAAATCATAACTCCCGCACGGTATATGCTGTGAATGAAGTCAATACGGTCAGATATGAGACTTGATTTGAATTTCAATTACGATACAGGTAGTCCATCAGTTAGTATAGAACGTAAATGTCTTTTGTTCAATCTCCAGTTCAATCTGTGCTCTTTTGAGTATATTCATGCGTAAAAATTGAGCATTAGACTGGGAAAAAATCTTCAACCGCATAATTCACCATTTATTTCAACATCACGCTCTGGGACGCGAAGCGCCCCTCGAGTAGCCGCGAACCATGCCCATCTCTGTGTAAACAGAACTTTTTTATGAAAATATATGATGTTTTACATGAGTTACCAGGAAACTACACGAGTTTCCTCAGAAGAAATCTATTTCAGAAAATCATAGGTAGTTTCCTTAACTAGAAATAAATTTCCAAAATGAAATCGATTGTCAGATATGCAATGACGGAATAAAATTTTTTTTTCATGAATTAATATAGTTTTCATCTGCAAAACATAGTTTTAACCAAAGAAAGGTGCAAACGATCGTTTTGCACGTTCGTATCAAGAAAGGCATCACGCCGCTTCTTCACGAAGTTCACATGACCGATTTCACTTCACATCTGCCTCGATTCTCATGATTCTTAGAATTCTAACTATGGCGATGATGTTCATTATTCTATGTTTTGGAATCGCCTAAGAAAATAGTTTTGTAAGAAAAGATCGAAGGCATTGAATTGTATAAATTGTACTCTAAAATATTTTACATTAATTTTATCAGTTCCTTGTTTGGTCTGTACATTATGAAATAATAAAAATTTCCCTTGTTTTCTTCCTTGGATAACGACGGATCTACTAATTATGAAAAAGTAGTCTAACTTGAATTGTAGTTTACAATCAGAGAAAATTTATTTTTGTCTTTGGATATCTTCGTCCGTAATTTTTTTAAAAACCTTTGACTCATTTTTGCACTGGAATAAGATAGCTAATCATCGAATTGAAGACAATCTAAATATATTTTCTTTTTTAAATAAGCACAATGTTATTCAACTTGCTTCTTGACAGCAATAGGTCCAAAAAAGATAAAGAAATCGAATTAAATATGACATTAGTCTTGATTGTATATAGTGGAACAAAAGGTTTTTGAGGTTCGGTTCGGTTCAAAATTGAAGAACTCAAGTTGCGACCATCTCTAATTAAAACACATACGGATAATCTCTCGTGAGAATAGGAAAAAGGTATCGATGCGTTTTATTCAAATGTACAATAGCCGAAAAATATGTCAAAACCTCAGATAGTTTCATAAAAGGGACTCGGTCTATCATTAGATAGATGCTACTTGTTTGGTTAAAAATTTGGTATAAAATATTGAAATACACAGACTAGATCGCCTATCACTGTCATGCGGCTTGTTTAGTTTGTTGTAGGGATTGGTGTGATCGTTTTGTCCTATGCCTGAAACATGAAAAATTAACTTTAGCCATTTTCTTCCATATATCCTCATTAAAAAAAGCAAACTTTTAGAAAAATGATTAAATATTCTGATTAAGGAATTCGTTTTCTAAAACCTTTCTATAATAATAGTTAAATAAATACGATTTCAAATGTTTTTTTTTTACAGGAAAATATATCATTCAATAAAATTTCATAAACGGATTGTGAATCCAGATGAGAAAAATTTCGCTAAAAATCTTAGTACATATAGTATTGTTGAATAAAAAATCTAAAGATCCCAAATACATCTATACAAAAAGCTACTAAGAAGTGGCTAACAAGGAAACATTCCCAGGTG